GCTACAAGCTATGGTGTATTGGCGACCATGGGTATATCTGGAGCTGGCTATTTCATTCAAGAATAGATGGCGTTGAAACGTTTGCAAAGAGTCAACAAACGCAATGGCCACAACACAACAGGGCACAGAAGTAAATTCAGATACTGAAAAAAGCGCTCTTCTTGCGCTAACTCACGCGCTTGTTTTACGCCTTGCTACACAGCTACCAAAGCAGAAATTCTGTATCCATCTTGATAACCTCTTTCTGAATGTACCAGTGGCTCAGTGCCTCCTGGCGATGGGTATTTACTCTGCATGGGAACTACACGAAAAAAGGCTACTGGTGTGCCCCTACAACTTCAACGCTATCTCAATAATAATAGCGAGCTTCTCTGGGATTCTACAATAGCACAAGTCATTGATAACAATACCCTAGCCTTTATTTGGCAAGATAATAAGACTGTTTGTGCTATTACGACTGCTCATAGCCTCCACCGCACAGAAGATCGAATCCAACGAACGCGCAAATGCCCTAAAATCTCCTCCGAAAATCGACGTATCCTTGACCCTGTATTTAAGGGCTTACCCTTCAAGGATCTCTTTATTCCAAAGGCTATTGATGACTATAACCATCATATGAAGGGGGTAGATCAAGCTGATCAGTTACGAGCAGCGTTTACTTGCCATCGCAAGCAAAGTTATCGTACGCAGATGCCCTTGATCTACCTATTAATAATTATAATCATTATATAAAGAGGATAGATTAAGCTAATCAGTTATAAGCAGCGTTTACTTGCTATTATAAGCAAAATTATTATATGCAGATACTCTTAATCTACTTTCTTATTAATGTTACTTATATTAATACGTATTTGCTATAGCTATAGAGCTCTCTAACGCACATAATAAATACATAGCATACACACAATAGCTATAGAGAGTTCATAAAGGCTCTCTCCTCTCAATTACTCTATTCGAATAATAAAACTAAGGAGAAGGAGGATTCACAATCTCTACCAACTATAGTACTTCAAAGACACCACAAACCCATACAAAAGAAGTCCGGCGGACGGTGTCAATGGGGAAAGCTTCATCCGCCAGGCTGTACACGTAAAAGGGCACCCAAACGCGTATTTGGAACAGATACTATACGCTCAGCCAATAATGGCATTTCTACGGCTATTTTAGGAGGCTCACACACTCATTATGAGTGCTCAAAGTGCCAGATTTGACTCTGTATCGAAGGAGAGTGCTGGGCACAATATCATCACTCAATTGGAGTCAATTGCTAGATAATACGGCCTCAACTGGCCCAAATAGGGTGTTTATTGACATTTTGAGCCTCCCCGCAGTGATCGACAGCGCTAATTGGCACATTCTACACCCCTGTTCAGGTACGGAGGGGATAAACCCAGCTTCGAGATTACTTCTAGCTTAGTTTCTGTACAATACAACCTCCTTGGTATGCCTCTGGATCCTCTGTAGTTTTATGTCAATGAAGTCGAATCCCGCACTATTGTCTGCTTGGTTCGACTAATGATGTCTTCTACATAATATGCCACCCTCCATACTAGTCCCCTTAACCACCTTCGATGCCCAGGCTAATGTCATTTAGATGCGGCTCACAATCTGTGTCAACAAGTTGCATGAGATCAGCAACGAAAATGCCGTAGTCTGATTAGTGTACACCCATCGCGTTGATCTTGATGGGTGGTCTGTTTTGAAAATGCCGCCGTCCGGTCATCCACAAGATTCAGGGCGTTCTGACAGCTTTTCTTGGCCGTGTCTCTGTCTTTCTGTCTCATTGCTGGCAACCTTTCCCAAGTCAATCAAGGGTCGCCGCCGCAATCAATCTTCCAAGATGATTGTTTTCCAGTGAGATATGTACGGCGCTCTGAAAGTTGACTGCAATAAAGCTCCAGCCACTTAAGATGTTGGAACTAGATCAACCAGCAGGAGTTGTTGACAGGCGCGAAGCCGAAATGTCAGTAATAGGATGCATTATCGAGGACCTCAACACGAACCCGATACTACTCGAACATATTGCTCCAGCCATGATCCATTACAACGGAAGCAAGGGACAGGATCCGTTCATGATTACCGTTGCCGCCGACGACCTAGGCAGCTCTGCAAACCAGGCGGTCCGCAGGTCTGGCGCCAGGAAGACAGCTATCATGATCGCTCTCTGTTTAGCTGGCTTTCTTGCCTCTTTGGATATCGTCATTACCGGGACTGCCTTGCCAACCATCGCCAAGGATCTGCTTGCCTCAAGCCTCGAGTACTCATGGGTTGGATCAGCGTACCTCCTCGCCTCTGCAAGTCTTCTCACCGTGTGGGTCAGGTTATCGGATATTTTTGGCCGCAAAACGGTCATGATCGTCTGTTATCTCCTATTTCTTTCTAGGACCCTGGTTTCCGCGCTGTCCCAAATATCCCGATGCTCATTGCCGGCCGAGCCCTTCAAGGGGCAGGAGGGGCAGTATTTTGGTTCTCACCAATGTCTGCCTCGCCGATAAGTTCAGTATGAGGTAAGTCATCAATAAGAATGAATCGGACCTTCGGTAGGCGCATATTCTGACCCTTCGAAAGAGAACGGGGCTTCTACATCAGTGTCTACAGCGCTGCGACCGCGACTGGGGCAATTCTCGGGCAAATTGTGGGTGGAGTCTTGACTGGATCAGGTCCGGAGCTGGGTGCCGAAATTATTGATAGTTCTCGCACAGCTTCATACCCCCCCCCTATCTTCGAACGCTCTCAACTCCATCAAATCGACTCGAAATTTACTAAAAAATGGCTCGAACAAACAGAACAGCTAGGAGAACCTGCAGATTAGTCGATTCTTCGATTAATTTGTCTCCTTCGTCGCCGCGACGACGACAAACAATTGTTGATACTCCACGAAGAACGCGCCTCATTTGCGACGCACAAGCTACAGCTGGCAAATTGCCTCGAAAACAGCTATTTAAAGCACATAATATAGCTGAAGCAACAGGCTATCGAATTCTCAAATCGAAATCTGCGCGCCGTACGAATCAAGTGCACAAACGCGGCCGAAAGCCAGTTCTTGCTCCTCATCAATGTGATGCTATCGAAACAGTCGAAAACTCCTCATTTCAGTTTGGATCTCTCCCTCATATGACTATTGCAAGGGCAATTGGTCTAGCAAATGGCTCTGAACGTGCAATTCAAAGAAATATGGCTGAACATGGTGTGGGGACCTATATGGCACAGCAGAAGAAATTCATCTCTGCCACGTCAATTGAAAAACGTGGAATTTGGGGATTTGATCATCGATACTGGCATTTAGATGACTTCAAACGCTATAAATATAGCGACGAATCTCACTTTGCTTGTGCCCTGCAACGACAAGCTCAAATACATCGTCGTCGTGGCGCAAAAGCACGAGATGCACCCACAAAGATCCAATTTCGATTCAAACGCCGAAATCAAGTATGGCACGTTTTTGCGTACATTGGATGGAATTTCAAAAGCAAGCTACACTTCTACATAGGCTCAGGAGCAGGGGGAAGGCTCGTACAAGCTGATTATATTACTATTTTGGAGGAAGTTATCGCTCCTAATTGGGATCCAAATTGGATACTTTTGGAGGATAACGATAATGCCCATGGCACTCGGGGCAACGCTGATAACAAATGCAAACAAACAAAAAGGCGTTTAGGGATCAAATGCGAATCTAATCCTCCGCAGTCGCCTGATCTCAACCCTATTGAGTCGATTTGGAGGATAATAAAGCAGAGGTTGAAGAATCGGGGGCCTATCTTTGATATAGAAGAATTGCGCAAGGCTATTGAGGAGGAATGGGATAAAATCACTCTGGATGAGATTAATAAGGCAATTAGTACGATGCCAGATCGAGTAAGTGCCTTAAGAGAGCGAAATGGGTTGCCTATCCCCTATTAAATAGATGATAGAAATAGTGGTGTTGCGAGAACTATCAATAATTTCGGCACCCAGCTCCGGTCCAGGCTGGCGGTGGTGTTTCTGGATCAATTTGCCCATTGGACTCTTCTCACTTGCCATCCTCGTATTGTCTCTAAATTTACATAATCCAAAAGCTCCTATAGGCTCAGGGCTTAGAGCGACTGATTGGCCAGGGGTCATCACGATCACTGGTGGTACAGCTCTACTCCTCGTTGGACTACAATTCGGTGGAGTCGTCCACCCATGGAGCTCGACCATTGTCATTTGCTTCATTGCTGCTGGCATTGTCACAATGGGAATATTTGTCTTTCTTCAAGTTTTCGTTTCCACTCGCCCGATAGTCGCACTGCGCTTGTTGAACAATTGGTCGAGCGCTGCCGCTTTAGCGATATGCGCCTGTCACGGACTCACATATGTTGCATGTCTCTACTTTCTTCCGCTGTATTTCCAGCTCGTACTGCAAGCAAGCCCGACCGAAGCTGGAGTCTGGCTACTGGCATTGGCGGGCGTTTTGATTGTGGCATCAGTAGCGAGTGGTGTTATCGTTGCCAAGTTGGGACATTATCGTCCAACCATCTGGACCGCCTGCTTTTCCATTACACTCGGTTATGGTCTTTTCATTAGCTTTCCATCATTCCGAGACTGGCCACGCATTATCGTCTTTCAGATGATAGCAGCTGTCGGAGTAGGGCCTCTCTTTCAAGCCCCCTTAATTGCGTTGCAAGCGCGCACATCTGCCACGAAAATGTCTTCCGCGAACTCGATATACTGGTTCACTCGAGAGATCAGCTCTGCAATAGGTGTTGTGGCCGGACAAGTCGTTATACAGAATCAGCTCGCGCATCAAAGTTCAACGCTACTATATACGGGCATCCCAGAGAAAATTGTTGTAGGTCTACCGCAAAACTTCGCCACGTTCTCGGGAGATCTACTCGCAGGTCTTACTCCAAGACAACAAGCGGTGCTTCGTCAAGCACTCACAAACGCGATCCGTTCAGTCTGGGTCATGAATACGGCACTGGCAGCTGCGGCTTTGATGGCGAGTTTCTTACTTCGGAGAGAAGAGCTTTCAAGGATTCACCACGAGGTCAAGACCGGGTTGGAGTCGCTGGAGGAGACATAGAGTCGTTCATGCTGGAGTGAGTGCTGTATAGATTCCTACTCATTCGTATCCCAAGAGATTTATGCAAGTCAATTATCATAGCTCCACCAATTAACATGCAATATCTAGTGCGTAATTGTCGTGTGTGGTATATCGTGCAACTAAGCTTACGTCCTCTGTTCTCTTCTGGATTATCTGACCCCAACTATCTATTTAGTGTATTTAGTCTCACATAGTAGACATATGTTGTCAGTCACAGCGACTTGGAGTTGCACGGTGTCCACACGTTCATCGGGCTTACCTGGGGCGTAAAACATCTGCTTTCCATCAGAATTCTCAATTCAAACCCAGTGGAGTAAATCCCCTTACAGCCCGACATTGCCCTTCCAATTGGATAGACACTCCTGGACTTATATCGTGCGACGAAGTCTCGGGCAAGTTTAAGCATGACTTGCTACTATGGCAGTCTCCTTGTGGTTGTTGCCACTTTAAGCAGCCACATGAATTGGCAAAAAGTCCCAATTCTTGTGAGTACACGGCTCCCTAGGCCGTTCTGAATGGATGCTCCACCTTAAATTCACACGAGCTTGGGGCCTCGCATATCAAGCAACACAGCCTTCGAGCAGAGAGCTCAAACAACACGGCTATTTCTTGCACAACCTCCCCTTCGCCAGCCTCTAACATCCCATGCAACTTTCGGACGAAGCTCTGGAATTGGAAATCCCTGATTTGACAAGTATGGAATCGCCTCCGCAAGATGCATGATGAATTTTCTTCGGTATTTGCCAGCTAACCACATCCTCTTTCCACTCCTTACTGTCAGCCAACCCATGCACTTCATCACAACGGCCACGGCAGACTTCAGCGGAACAGGCTTCCGTCAAGATCAGCGCCCTGCTGGGCCTTTCCAAGTGTGAATCTCGCTCGCCGTGAGCTCTGTACCATCAGCTCAAGGATACCCTGCACATACGATGCCTAGGACTGCACATGACACTAGAGCGATAGAAAATATGTTGGAATTGTTCGCCGCACAGCGTAAGGGGAACGTGGACATTATTGCACCGTTCCCCGCAAAGCAAAATAAATTGTTTTGAACGTCAATCTCTGGTGGCTGTTGGCCGGCTGTATTGGCGCTACTTTGGAAGGAGACGGAAGAGTGATGAGCAGCTTCGCACGCCTCTCACAGTTACATCAAATGATGTAAGAGTCTGAGATGGGTGGCTTCATGAAAGAGTAACTAACCCTTGCCATCTGAATGTCTCCCTGCCTCGTTCTATCCTCTCTTTCCCGCCCCATTGCATACAGTCAGCAAATCAAAAGGCCCCCACAAGCCTTCCTCTGGGGCTCCAACGCCACAAAAAAGACTCCCTAAATTTTTTGGCAAGCCCTTACCCAAATTTTCCCCTGCTGTTATTGCAGTAACATGAACGAGAAAGAAAGTTTAGATCTTGTACGCCGGTGAGTTAGCTATATCACGACTAACACGAAGGGCCATGCTTCCACGGCGATTTCCTTACCAAAACTGTAAGACTCGACGCTACAAGCCGCTGACACAGGGAAATGCCATCAAACTCATGGATGACGCGCGTATTTTGAGATTGGCCATTGGAACCTTCCTTCATTGCATGATTTTTCCAATTTGGTTCTGTGTACTCGCTTCCAAGAATTTTTCCGTCGGGCACTGTATCTTCTCCGCTCACGGGATGAACTTGGGATACTAGAGAGCATCCCTTGATCTCGCCACTTCAGTGTTTCGCATCTCGATCATCGATTCGTATTGGGCTATTGCGTTTGTTTGCAGCCAGCCCCGTTTGCCTAGGTCAGTCAGTCACTGAGGTTCCAATCGATTTGAGCCTATGGTTTCAACCTGTCGACCGAGCAGGCCCAGCCTGCTGTGTGTGGGCTCTTCGCGCTCTGCCACAGTCTCGCCTTGCAGGCCAGCTGTCAAGTTGACTGGTGGGGAGGACATTCCTTTCGATGAAGGCTTCTGAGAAAGTGTCTGAACCAGCTTGTGTATATGAATGCGTTAGTGTCCCTTTCAAGTTCGTCCCAAGTACAAAGTTTCTCCTTAATGGTTTTAATAATGCATTTTCTCCCAGAGTCCGCTCTCCATTACCAAATTCACCCACACAGACATTTTGGGGAGCACATGCGATAGCTGTTATCACCAACCCTCTACTCAACTCCCGTGACTGCATATATCTGCTTCAAGCACGACCGCCTTCTCATCTAAGCTTAGTGCAGCCGTCACCAGCCAGCCTAAGCACATATACGGTGGTGGATGTTTTCTTGAAGTGGGTGGATAAGACTGAGCTCCCACTTTCCCACCACAGAAGGTGAAATGCTAATGGAGAGCCGCCATGGTGATACGCTCGGGGCTGTTAATCGGCAGGTCCTGGCCACGGGGCCCTGGCGGTGGGGGAAAAGAACCGTGGCTGCGATGTACATGACGTAGTGATGGTCGACATTAGGTACTTCAACACTATACTGGAAGCCTCATGGTACGGCAGCTCGGAGTTAAGTGACCTCTTTGATGTTGGTGATGTTGGTGGGATCGCTGGCTAGAATGTTGCCGAGGTATTTGTATTTGCTGCATTGAAAGCACACCGAGTATTGGTGATGAGCTTGTACTGAGGCAGGTTTTTTTATAGGTGGTTAATGGCCGAACACGATTTAGTCATAAAAGCGCCTTTGCGGAGCTTGGTTGAGATGATTATGGACTTTGAGACTAATTTCGGACGTCCATACTAGCTAGGCAGAGTAGACGCAAAGAATGTGCCTAGCAACTATAAGCTCTGTCACGAGAGCGTCGTGGAGGCATAGCCACCGTTCGATGCCAGCCGATGCTCGTGATGGGGCAGAACTTGATTCCAGCGTCTTCGAGGATGGATCTAAATTGATCGGACTCTTCATTGATGTGTCCCAGGCTTTCTCCGGAGAAGCTTCCGTTGGGCTTGAGCTTGTGCCGATACTCAAAAGGCATGATAGCCTTGATTCAGATGTTTGGCTTCTGTATGGATACTCGAACCGTTGGCTTGGGCTAGGGTGGCGGAGCAAAGCGGAGAATGTTGGTTGTATTGGATATGACTGCGGACGGAAAGAAACACGCTGAGAATTAAGTGAATAGGTTCATTCGAAATAATATTGATGCAAGAATCGTGAATGAAGCTGCAATCCAATAATTCGGGGTGTAAAATCAGGCTTAAAGGAGTCGAAAGATGGGCTTTCCCTCAGGAACTTGAAGGGATGCTCATAGTGAACAGCATGCAGCGGCGCATAATTTATCGTAGATATATATCCTGTGCAATTGATACATCATCCATGGCTTAGCTGCAGCTCTGAATGTCCGATGGATTGTATGTCCCTACAAGAAAAATCAAAATCATAAATTGGTGTGCAGGAAAACGACTCGCTACTGATGGACATAACGACATGATGATCTCTCAGAGTCCTCCGGCGCTGAAGACGGCCTTCGGGCCCGGATTATGGCCTACAACTGCCTTGAAGTCGCGAAGATTCGATGTTCCATTGTGTCCGGCATTGCAAGAGAGAAGAGATTTTCTGGCTTGACCGTGTAACGCAGAGATGTAGTTGCAGCCAAAATAATGCAATTATACGAGTATTCAAGCAGTGCACCTTGCTGATAGTTTCGTGGTCAAATTCTAAATCGAAAAGGACTTTTGGGGATCTCCGGACCATTGATAGGAAGGATGTTTTACAAAATGAGGGCGTTAGGCCTTGAAGGCTAACGTACCCAACGGACTTGTGCACTACGTAGTGCGCCCCAATTTGCACGACTTTTAGGGTCGATATACCTAACTATGCCACCAAATTTCTCAAGCCACGAGGCTCAGGTCGCCACTGTCAGAATCCCTGCGCATACGATACGTATCTGTTACGTATTAGCAGGATGATACAGGGGTCCCCGCATGCGAAACGCACGAAACGCTCTTGTAACTTTTACGCCCTGTTATTTATGGCAGTGAGCATTGTTATACGAATTGAACGCCAAATGCTGTTTCTGAGCTGTTGCAGTAATGCGCTTCTATAGCTATTAGTGTGAGCAAATGCTCCTCTTGATAGGAGTAACTAAATCAATTCAATTGGTATCTCCGTACGCTATTTGCTACATCCTCTAACAGCCACCATTCAACAAACATTCATCGAAACCAATACAGATGTAAGTTCAATGACCATTATCAAGTAATGTTTGTTAACACAATGTCTATTTGAGCCATTTCAATCACTTCTATCTCCAAACAGCGCCAGCAACGTTCAAGTAATAGGAATATGCTCTGAAACCCAAAACGCCAAGTGATTTCTGGTGCAAATGGGGACATGTCAGCTGGGTACGTTAGTAAAGGGGCTCGGCTAAGGGTCGGTGGTCCACATCTGACGCCATGTTGATGTTTTCTCCCTCGATACACACAAAGGCTGCACTTGGTACGTGACTGTACGGCTTTCATGGAGTTCAGTTTTGTCCAATTCGATGGAACGTCTAATCACTAGGTGATTTCAGTGATGTGCATGCGTCTTGGCATGCCCACTGCTCCATGCAATGAGTCTTCCTTCTCCTACATTTATCTTCACCATCCCATCTGTCCATGACGATACTATTCTGAACTGCCGTTTGTACGTTCCTCGCAAGAATCTTGTACTCCATGATATTCAGCCACCAAGAGCTGCTATAATTGCGCACCCATATGCCCCTCTTGGTGGTTGCTATGATGATCCAATTGTGGAAAGTGTGGGCTTCGTGCTATGGAGGGCAGGCTACTTGATTGGGACATTCAACTTTAGGTAAGGCAACACATCCAATGCAGATGCAGCAATGCACATATAGTAGCAATTTTGCCAAAAGCTTACCTGCCGTAGAGGGGCTTCAGGTGTGGCAGGTCATACATCGTGGTCAGCAAAGCCTGAGCTTGGAGATTTCGTCTCGATGTATGGTTTTATGATCAATTACCTGAATTGTTTGATATTGGGCAGAGGCCGTTATCAGCGTAATACAAACCAGCAACTATCTTCTATACCTTCGGCTATCGAGGGAGAAGAATTACCTATAAAGCCACATCTTTCTCCAAGACTCCTCTTGGCCGGTTACTCATACGGATCCATAATTACATCTCACCTGCCTGATGTTGAATATGTCGCAAAGCTGTTCAAGAACGCTGTTAGCGGCTCTGCAGAAAGCGAGATCCAGCTCAGAGCCTCCAATCTATCAAGCCAGACGTTAAAGGACCTCGAGACCAGGCAGAAGCACAACCGGGCCAAGACAAGCCGGAGAACTCCCACAACGCAGGCCAATCCAGGATCATTGCAGTCCTCTTCCTCTGTTCTGGTAGGCGGCTTTGAATCGGAAGCTGCAGAGGAGAGAATTGATCGCGAATCTAGAAGAAGTCTAGACCTTCGAAAGAGCTTGGATCGTGTTCGTGAGAAGATTCATGTTAGACCGCATCGCGTGCCCGACAGCAGCGACACATCCGATGAAGACACACGTGTCAATTGCAACCTCGATGTGATCGTTCCCGAGATCTGCTACTTGCTGATCTCTCCAGTCTTGCCGCCAGTTGCTAGATTTGCAACCTTCTTCTCTAGTTTGTCATTTATAAGACGACAACCAGGAGAGCATATCTCGAACCACGATGTCTCGAACCTGCTAGTGCGGTATCCGTCTCTAACGGTTTATGGAAACAAAGATTTCTTCACATCTGCCAAAAAGCTTCGAAGATGGACCCAGGATCTCAGTGACAAACCAGGATCTGCTTTCGAATACCGTGAAGTAGAGGGAGCAGGGCATTTCTGGCGGGAAAAGGGCGTTCTGGAGCAAATGTTAAACCATATCATGGATTGGGAATCCTCTCTGCCTTAGTCTGCCGTTACTCGATAGGAACGTGATCCGACTTTCCCAGGGGAATCTTACTCACTAGGTCGTTTGCAGCAAGATGTATTGCAATTGAGACTGACAGGCTTCCCCACAGCGGCAATATCTGAGAGTTACACATGACGACCTGCATTCTTTCCTCAGGAACCAAGGGCAATGGTCGAAATAAGCTCCGCGGCCTAACTCGATCTGCATATCCAGCGATGTCAAGGTAGATGTGTGCTGCACCTAGTGACATAGCTCCCCCATATCAAGATACAGACGGAGAGATAAATCTTTTCTGGTTGCACATCGATCAGCTCTTGTTTCACATGTGAACGTCTGGCCCAATGCACACCACCCACGCCCGGGTCTCCTCCCACTACCATAATGTGACCAGTGGGTGAACAGCCATGTTTTTACTTGCAGATGGCCTTGTGATGCTGCCAACGTGACCTTTTTCCATTCGTCCAACACCAGTGTCTGGCGTCAAAGACAACAACAACACCAGCACCACCGACGTGGAGTCACTCCGGAGTCCATCCGTGGTTCCCCACAAACTTTGGGTTTCTAGTTCATAAACTTAGTTACTACGTATGCACACTGGCTAATCCACTTCCTGAATGGCGGCCTTACCACGCAGTAAATAGTAGGACGCCGTCTCCAAGTGTCCATGTTCTATCCATGCATCGCATCTTTGCATCATACTTGATCAGAGTCAAAGTTTGCGCCGGGCCGATTCCTGCGTGCCATGGTGCTCCTTCCGGCCCTGCTTTTGTTCATGATGTGCCGTCTTTAGATTGAGCGCAGACAACCACTTATAATGCCAGGATCATGTTTGTTCACTACACCTTCAATTCCGCTCCGTCATCCATCCATCCACATCCACCCAAACCATATTCCCAGCTGACTTCCCTTGTGACACATCCATCGAGCAATATGGTGGCAACCATCTCAAGTGTCCGTGCTCTTTTGCATATGCTTCAACCACCCGCAACCTCCAGTCTTCGGATTTCTTGTTGCTGATATTTCCTGCTTTGCCGACAAATGGCGACTCAGCAGTAGTTATTGCCTGAATGGATCTCGCTTCCCATCGACAATGGCATTCCTAAATGGAACAGCAGACCTCCCGCTCAATGCGTTCGCCCGTTTTCAGAGACCAGAACATGCGGAAGAGTATTGCCGCGACAATGTTCTCTACGACCTCGCAGACTATATCCGGTCTGCGACTTTGTCAAGTGTTGCCCATGATACCGCGGATTCAGCATGGGGCATGTTTGCCCCGGTGTGGCTCAAGCGGCAGCGGAGAATCAGAGTGCTTGAGAAGATGATGAAAGAGGTACACCACCCTTTCCCTGTCCTTGAATTTGTCCGCTAATACAATTCCAAAGGCTAAGGATCTCGAGGCTTACGAAGCATGCGCAATCGAATTAGACGAATTGCAAGGCCACAACGAGTGGAAGCTGACTTTCCAATCAATCGAGGAGGACTACAACCCCACAATAATCAGAAAACACATGCGGAGGCTTCAAACAGCAGCTAAAACATCCGACATTGGACGCCTTCAATACCTGCTTCGCACACAACTGAGTCGCAATCTGGGAGGGGTGAATATTTTACGCCTATACAAGCACTCATGGCATGGCACAAAAGCTCTTGTCAACGAATACATCAATACTGTCATATCCTCCATCAACAATCTGCTCGAGCTGACCGAAAAGGCACGATTACCAGCTTCAGAGTCTCGTTTCCACCAGAAATCTCTCGAAGACGCCTTGAGATACTTCGGACGGTCAGCGTTGACCTTATCCGGCGGCGCAAAACTTGGTTTGAAGCACGTCGGAGTGGTCAAGGCCCTATGGGAGGCGGATCTCCTTCCGAACATCATTTCTGGAGCATCGGCTGGAGCAATAGCTGCGGCTATTATTGGAGCTCACTCGGACACTGAAATGGAGGACGTCCTTACCAGGTTCCCCTATACCGACCTGGCCGTGTTTGATCCCCCACATGTGGTAGGTCCGATTCGCTGGTGCGTAAGCCGCTGTCTTACTGCGATTGAGACGCATGCATGGTTCGATATGGCCAATCTAGAGAAAGTGATGAAGAACTGGCTGGGAACCTTGACCTTCAGAGAAGCGCACAACAAAACCGGCCGAGTCATCAATATCTGTGTATCAAGCCCCGATAGCTCGGAACCACGTCTGCTCAACTTCATGACCGCTCCAGATGTCTTTTTATGGTCTGCGGTCTGTGCTTCTTGCTCCGTACCGTACGTGTTCCAGCCCGCCAATATTTACGAAAGGGATCGTCAGACAGGAACAACGAAAGTCTGGATGCAGGGCTCACAGCAATGGGTGGATGGTTCCCTAGACTCCGACATTCCCCAGCGCAAATTGTCCGAGATGTTCAACGTGAACTTCTTCATTGTGTCGCAAGTCAACCCACACGTACGGCCTTTTCTCGCTGCAGAAGAACAATTCACTGGTATTCAGCCAACGACGAAGGTTCCTCCAACGGACACCATCATCCGCAAAATGGCCACCTTGGCTAAGGATGATGTGGTCTATCGTGCTAACCTGCTCTCCGATACACCGTTCTTGAAACCCTTGTTGAGAGGGATCTCGGTCCTGACACAGAAATATACTGGCGACATCAATATCCTTCCAGAAATTGCACCCTCCGATTACCTTCATATGATGTCAAATCCAACTCCTGAATCCATGACTGAGGCAACGGCCAGTGGGGAGCGAGCCACCTGGCCCAAAATCTCACGGATCAAAAACTCGGTTGCTATCGAGTTAGCTCTACTTAGGGCAATCAATGTGTTCCGGGATCGTGTCAATTTTGGGCCAGACGCAGCTAAGGCTCGCCAAAAGATGCGACTAGAAGCAAATCGAGGTCGACCACGAAATTCGAGACTCCGCCGGCCATCTTTTACAAGGCGGCGAAGTCTAAGTAATGAGCCTCCCGAATGGGGAAACCCGCCGAGTAGACTCATTGGACCGCCTTCGCCTTCACCGAACCGGGCCGTAAAACGTAACAACAGTGCTGGCAGTCTTGTCGAGAGGCTGGGTATGATTTCGGGCTTTACTCCGATGGCACCAAAGACGCCACTTATTACATTGACTCCACAAGCTGGTGTCAGCGATTGGTTGACTACTCGAGAGCCAGCAGATGGGCAGTTCAATGGGTTCCTGTTGGGCGGCGATGACGAAGAGTGTAGCGAGACATTCGTCTTTGATCAAGACCATCAACCCGCTGTGCCGACTCTTACCCCGGAATCTTTGTCTCCTACCTCTTCAAAGCCTCCCTCGCCAGTAGAAACGTTCAAGAGTTTTCTGAGAGGTCGCTCTGAGCAAGACTAATGGACACCATCAGGCGTTAAGACCTAACACAAAAACATACAGCTAGATGGAGTCTAGACATCCTACATGAGAGGACGCGATTCCCCGCACAATGGGCTTGTAGTCTTGCGACAAGCTACAAACAAAATCCGAAATCTTTGCTATAGTCTATGCGGCGTCGCTCAAATTCCTTTTTCCTGGGAAGAATTGAGCTGACGCATTTTTAAATCAACACCTTTCTCATGTTCGGCGTTATGGCATTCCATGCAGCGGCGCAGGTCATGTCAGGTTGATGGGAGACATCGTCAGAACGTTTAGTAACGGGCAGTGTACGATGCTGATGTTGCACGAATGGATGGGCGCTTGCATCATATGCACTTCTGACGCGCGGTGCGCACCACCACCGCCGTCAATAGCGCGGGGTCGTATTCTTCCTGTATCAATATAGCTTTCAAGTATCAAGAAAATAGACGAGCTCCTAAATCATGCTAGCATCGACTTTCTCTCTTGAGGGGCACAGGAACGCACAAGTAAAATAAATAGGTGATCTATCGTAGTACATCTCTAGCCGATGCTACCATGCATAGTCGTACTCTCCTACCGTACACCATCTAGACTGATAAGTGGAGATGCAAGGGAGGGGGGAGAAAAGGGTAGAACGAAAAAAGCAGTAGTAAAAGGCACTTCCCAGCAGTAAAGGCAAGATAGGATTCGATTCTTATGCAATCAGATTACGCTAGATGCAGCAATTAAAAGGTAATACTTGATCACTAGTAGTACTTTCCACCTCCATCACTTCAACCGCGTCAGCCTCAACAGATCATGCCTGGAGAAGAAGCTGCGATTCCGCTTCCCAAACACGTACATCGGCACGCTCAGCAGACAGATGGCGACCTGTATGCTACCGATGATCACAAACGTGCTCCGCACACTGCGTGAAATCCCCGCCGTGATCCAATCATACGCATAATATGTCAAGATAAACGAGAACATGTTCTTGAAGATGAGCAGGCAGGTGAAGGCTTCGACCGCGATCTCGCGGTGCGCGTCGACGACGTACAGGGCGCTCGCGACGGCGCCCATGACCATGCCGACGACGACGAAGCCGAAGAAGACGTCCGGGATCAGCCAGCCGTAGCGGGCGATATCGGCGGCGGTGATGCCGAAGCCGTAGAGGCCGATGCTCGAGAAGATCAGCATGGGAAGCACGAGCAGGATGCGGAATTCGGGTTCGTATTTCCCCCTGTTCCAGCGGATCATGGCTCGGTTGATCCAGTCGCTCAGCAGGCCGGAGAGGACGAGTCCAACGATGCTGCCAATGAAGGCGCTCGTGTAGAGGTAGCCGGTGCGGACTTCGTTGAAGAAGAGCGGTGGGCTGAGGAAGATGACGGCGATGACGACGCCGATTAGCACGGTCCAGCCGATTATTACGCCTTGGATTAGGCAGGCCCAGAGGATGGAGATATGGAGGAAGAGGGGGAGGGGGCGGAGGAGGAGTTTGAGGAAGGGTTCGCTGGTTTTGCGGCCGTTGAAGGGAGAGAGGGTCTTGATGTAGGAGACTTGTTGGGGTGGGCGGTGGGGGGTTTCGGTGCGTGATGTTGTAGTTGAGGTTGTTGTTTTCTCTGTGGTGGTGGTCAGGTGGGCGCTGGTTGAAGGAGGAGGTGTGTGAGATGAGGAGGACTGGCTTTCAAGGGATTTCTCTGTCAGCGGGTGTTGTCCTTGTTCCATGTCGGTGTTGAGGTGGTTTGCGCGCTTGAACGCAGTCTCTGGGACGAAGAAGACGACCAGAGGAAGCATCACCCCCATGAAAATGGCTATGAAGTAAAAGGTCCATGGCCATCCGATTTCGTGGGTCATCTTGCCAACAATCACTGGTGTCAGGAAGGCGCCTCCGAAAAGAGAGACATTTGTAAATGCCATCCTCATGCCTCTTTCGTGAACGAAGTATAAATCCCCAACACAAGCATTGACCAAGGCTTCAAATGGTGCAAGGGCAACACCTTGGATGATCCTCGCCCACAACAAGCTCTTGTAGTTCGTTCCACTTGCTCCTCCCCATGCTGAACTGATGATCATGAGCACAGTCCCGAGTAGGAAAAGGTGTCTTTTGCCCCATACTCTTGCTGATGCCACAAAGAGGAAGCCAGCCACGCCAACGCCGCAAAGATGGTATCCGGTTAGGAGGGCAGCATCGGTGAAAGATCTAACGAAGACAATTGCGATGGTGAAGGTGTTGGCAGCAAGGAGGGGACTGGTCGTTGCAGCGATGACTGAGGTGAGGGATAGTATCCCAAGGATCATATCTCGTTTCCATAGTGGCCAGTTCTGTGATGATCAAGTCAGCGTACTCCCTTGGGACACATAGCCCATGTATCTCACCAATGGATCATTCGGGTCATCGCTCGGCTGTGGTACCAGGATGATTGTGCCTGTGCGATCTTTCTTCAGGTGTAGGCCTTCCTCAGACCGAGCAAGACGTCGCCTCTCATCTTCAAGCACGTATGCTGTACCCGGTACATGCTCGAGCTTGCGATCTTCGAGCACACCGAGACCCATGCTTGTAATCTGGTATACAAGCGCCGAAGCAACTCCAGTCTTGCATAAGGCTAGGTCGTGCCCGTACTACAGACGTCTGGGATGTACTTTGGTCGATTGGGATGGTGAGATACTTTGCTGCGGCAGAAGATTGCTGCAAGGATGATCTTGGTGGTGTGGTGTGGCGGCCGCCGCGCCGTCTGACTTACGCTAAAGTAGCAGTCGACCGCGTAGGGAGCGGCGCGAAAGATAATCTGCACTCTTTCCTCTAACTATTGTACAATCTATCTGCATGTATGACTACAGCTCTATGTGTAGTTTAGGAAACCCGTTCGATCGCTCAATATTCTTATCTGCCTGGAGGCCTCCACAACGTACAAAGTTCGGGGAGCTGGAGCTGCATAGCAGGAAAGAATGTAACACCAAGGATCTTTGGTAGACATGACCCTGTGGCGTTGGAGGCCGAATGCGGTTGTCTGACATTGAATGCTCCACATGCAACTTGAAACTGTGGATTAAAAGTTTCGTTGGCCTGATCGACTGGTATCTCACCTAAGCGCCAACGAAACTTTGCATCTCCTTAATGCCCATGCACCACAGCCACAAAGCCACCAAAGCTTGAAATGGATGAGGGTACATATTCAGCCATGATTTCCCACGACATGAAAAGACTCAGTTGCTATAATACGGCTAATCATGACATATGGCAGCCACCGTGAGATTCAGTCCCGCAACTGTCAGCCAGAGTAATTCGCGCTCGAGGGGACCCAATGATGGTACGAATCAGGCCCAGGGTACTCGCTTCAGTCACACAACAGGATATGCTCCCATCCCAATGGGAAGCGCACCGTTATCAGCTGTGAAACCTCAAGTCCATTCGAGGCGCTGTTTCTGGCGGTCTTCGCTGACAATCACGTGTCCACTCATTGTTTTGGCTTTTTACACGTTCATATGTGCTCATTTCCTGGCACGTCCTCTTTCAAACAACATTTCCCGCTCAACCACTATCAATGCTACATGGGTCTATTTCTGCTGGTTCCTCATATCGGTTTTCATATTGGAATGGGCGCGCAATGGTCTTGCGAACATCGAGGCTTCGGCACTCAAAATTCCGCAACTGGCACCTTCGCAGGCAAAGGAATTGATGTGGCATACCAAAACGAAATGGGCGAATCCATTCTGGTGGCTTAAAGCTCTACTATCAGTCTTCTTGAGACTAATTACGCGCAGACGGTCTAGGTCACAGAATCTTGTACCAATGCCTAGTGGGTTGTGGATGTCTTTGAGCTCTGTCCACCTGTTACTCTTTATAGTAATCCCCCTAAGCGGTCTTTCTATGGAGGTTATCGATGGGTTCACACATGCCACTGGCCCTGCACGAGTATACGGACCTGATGCAGGCTCGTTCAACTCACGTAGCTGGGTTGATTTCCCTCAACGTACCCGCAGCAATTGGGCCTCCGGTCGACTGACGGCTCCGCCTCATGGCGCATTACTGTATGCGCCTCACGGAAGCAACAATGTCTCAACCACATACTTTGATGACCAAGCATTGGACGCAGCCCGGAATGACGAAGGTACTGTAATTCGTGTATTCGCAGGACCAGCTGTACGGGAGTCTGTCTGGGGAGAAGCATGGGGCCTGTCTGCCAATATATCCTGCATGCCCACTCCACTGGATCATCTTCAGATGATAAGGAACGATGCATACAATTCCTCTGTGAATATATGCTCCACCGAGGAGGGTTGTGAGTTTCAGTGGCTCAACACCGACGAGGCGAACAGAATAAATGCAGCCCGGCTAAATGGCCTGGATGAGCAAATATTGGACATCCCAGTATGGTTAAATGAGTCTCGTGAAATTCATTTGCAAAGAGGTCTTCAGTCTTATTCACTGCTTGCAGCTGCTGATGGTTGGTCGATGATATCGACAGAGCGCTCTGAGAAGGCCACCACAAGTCCCTATAACAACGTCAGCAACCACGATGACTCGACGTTTGACCATATTGTGAGGGGTGCTCGGCCAGAAGATGTCACTAATTCAATGTTCGAAGTGCTCCTTTGGCAAGCTGGAGCATCTGGGGAGGGAATAGTAGATGACGAGATTTTCAAAGATTATAGGCTCCACCCTTCACCTTTAGCAACAATAAAAAATGGAACCACAAATCTTTTCAACAGTGGCGATGCCATCAATTCTGGCGTCTTCCTCGGTTTTGGCGTTCATTGCGATATCAAATCTGCCGTTGGCACTGCAACTCTCGATCCCGATCAACGTACGTTTTTCAACTTCACGCGTGGGAAAGCAGCTCCCAGTAACGTGACATTCCTATTCCCTTTCAACGTCGCGCCTGTGCAGATTCAGGCCATGGCCTCTTTGGCTGGAAATCAGTATTCTGGAAATGTCGATATGGCACTCACTCCACGAGAAGAGTCTGATACGGATTCGACTTTGACGGCAATACACAAGGCCATCGGCTCTACGATGCGGCGAAGAGCCGATGATCAACCTGGGATAGTTCTGTACTACCCGACGCTGTCCACCGAGAACGTGACTCTTGCTATGTACAAACTCCTTGGTGAGAGCGTAATAAGCTTGATGGGAGAAGGTGGCGTGAACCCCCGGAGCAGCACATCACTTTATGCACTGGCGCCCTCCAGGTACCTCCGACCTGGTACTGTTCCCTGGCAATTGGTCCTCGCGCTTTTGGCCCTATGGGCCTTCTCGACTTCACTCGGCGCTCTTCTGGTGGTGATCTGCAAGCCCACGAAAGGCATGCCGCCTTGATGAAGTCGAGTGACTCCATTCAGTCTAAAAAGCACAACGAATGTCTAAGTTGTCAGCATTGGATTTTGCAAGGACTCGGCGATAAGACAGCAGTTCAGGTCCTCGCGTGCGACGATGCAAACTTTGCTCCGACTGCCTTGTGTAATACACCAGAGCGCTTCAGGAAGCCTTATGCTGTAACCTGGAACTGGTGGTGGGAGCATACTGAATTCGCTTCACCATGAAAGTCAATCACTTCATTATGAGATTGCTATCATATATTGTGTTTCGCGGTATCAACACAAAACCCATGGCATCCTCTACTCTACCAATATCCCCAGCACAACTCCTAATATTCATAATAGTGTTGCCACACTTGCGAAATATCATGCTTGGAAAGTAACATGAAAACTGCCTTATGCATACTTTACATTGGATGATTCTGAGGATCGTGCTGGGTGAACAGGTGTGCGTTGACGAAGTAGGCACTAACATCTGCTGTGGAAGAAACGGGAAGACAGCGAAGTGAAAGAATGCCGCAACCCTATGCACGAAATTTTCTCTCGTTTGAGCTGGATTGATGTTGTGCTGTCAGCTAGTGCTAGGCCAATGTTCTGCACATTGTAGGAAGCCAACCCGTATCTTCTGTCATGGCCTTCTGGATCGCTGTGTCGCTGATGTACCTCAATCAAGAGAAAAAGAGAGAAAAGGGCCCCAAAGTTCCGTACCGAACCAGTACCTGACTAAGTCGATACGAGAAGGTTGTGTGAATCTTTTGTATGTACGGAGTAATAATGTCTCTGTCAGAGATTTTTATTACTCCGTGCACAATCATGATTTTCCCAGACCTTGGTCGCTTGCTACTGGGGGAGGAGATAATTATTGTTAACTTTCAGTATAGAACGCCATGTAAACAAAAAAACCCTAACTATGTGTCTCTCCTTACTACGGGGGGGGTCTGAAGTAATGGTAGTCTGGTGCTGGGAGCAGCGAGTTCTTAGAACGAGGTAGTACGTAGTACATATCCTCAACCAAATGCAATCCCAGCACAGTTAGAATCAGAGCAAGCGCTCGTTAACCGCTATGCTGCTCGGTTGGCATGGCTATCACAACGCCTTCTTCCTCACTAACAGGGGGAGAGGCTTCTCTCTCAAATCTGGCCCGCAGGCGCTAACTATAAGGCTAGTTAAGACCGAGTTGATTCAGAGAGCAAAGCATCAATGATTCCTATTGACTGCTACTACGGTAGGAGGCATGATTGACATCACTGGTACGCCAGTTCTAGTTTGTAACGCCAAGGCTGAACGCCACACAATCGCTTGACTACGACTACTACGTAGTCTGTTCTGCTCATCATTAAGTATGCATTTCAGTTAGCATCAATGACTGCCTGGCACCTTGCTGGCATTCACTCAAGTAGCTCTAGAACATAGGCTGTTGGCGTAGAATGCGATAGAATCAGTAGGACAACATGTAGATACAACAAAACCCCTATAATAGCGACAGCGAGGTCAGAGCGTTAGGGGGGCTGTAAAGGAGGCAATTTGGTCCCCTGTTACTAGCACGCGGGTGACATTAATTATTCCTGATACCGTAGTACTAACAGTGGGGAACAAGCTCCAGTCGTCGTACTATTTCTTAGCTTCGAGGCCCACGCCTGTTGGGGGCCACTGCAGGAGGCCTCGATTTGGGCGTCTTGATTGAGCACCCCAATTGATAAATAAGAGTCTGCTGCTCCCAGCTGCCTGCGATTCGTACTCTGTCGACTGGTGCCTGAATTGATTGCGGTACTCCTCCCAACCTTCAAACGACACCGTTTTTCCGCACACGATGGTGTCAATGAGATTCGCATCGATCGCCACATTGGCTGCTTCGCTCGTCGCAGTTTCTGCCCAAGATTTCTCTAGTATTCCTCAATGCGCTGTAAGTGCTGATCGGCAATCTGAAGATTCCATGTCACCGAGACTGACTCTATTTGTTCGCTAGCAATCTTGCGCAATAAATGCCATTCCCCAAGAATGCAATTTGAGACCGGACTGTATCTGCCGTGCCACCAGCTTCCTTGAAGGGATCGGTTGCTGTGTGATCCAGGCTTGCAGCCAGGAGGATGTTGACCGTACGTCCAGATCATCTCGCCGCGGCCCCTTTCAAGAATGGTTTTACTCATTATTATTTCTTTTAGGAACCGCTCAGTTTTCCGAACAGCTCTGCCGAACAGCCGGCGTTACGGATCTTCCCACTCCCTCGTGCCCTGAGTCCGGGTCAAGTAACGGCACAGGCGCTGGCTCATCCAACTCCAGCTCGACAGCTAATGCATCAGCTACTGCGTCAGGCGCTTCATCGTCCGCCAGCGGCGCAAGTACTGCTGCAGCCTCGGCCACCGGTTTGGCAAACAGTTTGATGGCCCAAGGCATGGGTGTCCTAGGAGCTGCTGTCTTCGGAGCAGTGGCGTTGATGTGAATGGACAAGGACATCATGCGAAGAGGCGGTAATAGCCGATGCCCAGAGTCAAATCTGAGGTCTGTGCTTTTCTCGTTTCAATGCGGCCATCATCAGCAAAGTCTGCCGTCGCCCGCGGTTGCCTGCCGAACTTTCTTGAGGCACATATTCTATCCTACTTAACTTCTGCTGGCTCATTGTGCTTCTCTCAACTGTGTACAAATTACTGTACAATACTGAGAGAATAACGGCTCACCGTCAATATTTAATCAAGCCTGTAACGTAATGGATTACAGTATATGACTGCTGAGCCATCCTTTTTCTACTAAAGGGATATTGAACAAGTGCCTCTTGGAAAATGTTCATAGTTCTAGCTTCTCTGCGTATTGTTTCTACATGACTTGTACTCCTTGCATTACTCCTTTGTATAGCTGGTGCAACTGGCACCCCTCTCATATTCTCGTTCGATATATCTAGGGATTTGGCTCCAGTCTAGAGATCCAGAATCTTGCCTCGACGACACTTCACTGAGCGCTGCAAGGCGGATTGAGCTCTCGATCATACGGCATCTGAAACACTTCCTTCTCACTGCGAGGACTCCTCCTCTCCTCCTTCCCGCCACGCCTTCCAGGTCTTGGTATTGGCGCAAGGGCCATGCTGGTTTCAAAAGCCGGCTGAAGAGTTTTTATCACCAGTATTAGCCCACAGGAATGCTTCACCTTCCAAGTCTCCAGCTCTTCCTCTAAGAAATGCTTCGCGATATAATGGGAGCCATCAGCACAGAAGATGGCACAATATGCCCAGCGAGAAACACTCCACTCATTAGAATGAGGATGTGCCCACAGAGTCACTTCAAGATCAACCGTAGAGAATCCACCAAACATGGAGATCGTGCTCTAGCTCTGATTGGGGATGAGCGAGTCACCCTTACAGAAGAGCACGTTCGTTGATATCTGTTTCTATCTCTTGTTCTTGAACTTGGGAAGGGTTGTTGCTGATCGTTCCAAAGAGCAGAACAGCACATTCGCAAGATTGACAAAGTCATCCTGGCGATTAATGTGTGGATTTTTTTGGGCGGGTAAGATCTTATCAAACACACTTCTCGACGTGAGCTATGTAGGAACTATACGCGCAGATCCTCGATAAAGCAGTCCGATACTTGGTCTGCAAAACCATACCGGACTAGCTAGAAACCAGTAAGTACTCGCTCATTAGCTCGATCACCACAAAGACACAGCTAGCCTAGCAGCTTTTTTCTTCTATCTTGATCAGCAAGCTCCCTCATAGCATACTTAAGCCTTCCCTATGCCTAGGCTGGGATATTGCCCAAACCGCAATGGCTTCATGTCACAGCTATGACGGCCTGCTGGCTATGAGGTTCTTGGTTGAACTATTCGAAGCGGGCTGTCTTCGCCTCTTGAGAGTCATCACTAGTCAATGGTATCGGCGAGCGGAACAACCCAGTCTTTGTGCCGCGCGGTACGGCACCAACGGTCCAGCTCCACTCACTACTTCAGCTCCCTCCTAGGGACTAGGCCATCTGAGATCAGACGTCCTGAAATCATGGCAAATGTAACCAATCACGAACCTGATCCTCCAGATACTGAACCTCTTGTTAGCGTCTTCCTCTTCGTTGGCCTCATAACCGTGGTCAGCGCCCCATTCGGCTACTGGAAACCCGACGACGACATTTACCCTCCGCCCGTATCCTAATACCTCACAAAGGTGCCAAAGTCATCGAGTGTCTCCGCACCAACCAAACCGGCACAGGATACCGCGAACTCAGATGCTCGCAGGTCCTCAAAACCGGCCTCGAACCAAAGACCTAGCTTTGGTTTTGCATGGTCTTACTCCTCAACGTCGGCGCTAGCATCCACAACACCTTCGGTGCCCTCATCCTCTCTGGAGTGGGACAGCATCGTCATCCTGCCCGTCGTTGTAGGATGGGCGGTTCTCTATGTCTTGCGACGCAACGATCCCATCAAGCCGCGTTGCCAGCAGCGTACTATCCTTGACTTTGCTCGCAACCCACTGATCGTGTCTTGGATTGCCGGCAATATTGGCGGCATGACAACTAAGTCCATGATCATGTGCCTCTAGGATGCTGGTTCCCCAGCGGTCAACTTTATCGGACCACTCCTCGTCAACAAAAAGACGCACCGCGATATCATCCTGACGTAGAAGCTGTGCTGGCTATCTTTGTAGCGTTAGCTGCGGTAGCGGGTGTCCAGCTGGGAATCTGATGTTGTTGACCATGGTGCAGCACCAGAAGAGGGTGTGGAGCGGGAAAATGAGGGCTATCTTTGATTCGTCGATGTTGGATCGGTATGTGGGTTTGGATGAGGCCGAAGGAGCAGGTCGTTAGGAGTGGTGCAGCTGGTGGGGTGGAGAAGAGAGAGTGAGGGTGGGAAGGAGGAGACAGGGGTTGGGTGATGACGCTGTTGGGGATCTGACGGGTCGGGAGAATGATTATTTTACTCACATTCATTGAGGCTGGTTATGGTATATAGATTGGTGGTGTAAAGCTAAGGGTGGACATGGCAAATGCGGAGGCCTTCGGTGCAGATCAAGAAGTATTATGAATATCCAGCATTTCAACCAGTTCCTCCTATACTCTCATGAATCGATGATTAGCCGAAATCAGCTCAAGCCTCACATTGAGTAAGTAGAGACGGCTTCAGACCTTCTCTCCTAATCTGACAATTTTACCCAAGACGGCACCTGCTCCATGGGATTCAGCTTGCCTAAATCGACTCTCTTTCCTATTCCAGCCACGTTGCCTCATCCGGACACCGTGCACTGAGGGCACAGATCCAACATGTCGATATAATTTCCTGGAACCGGCCTAGCATTCGACAGCTGTATTCGATGATCTTGTTGTGGCTGGTCAGCGTTTGGGTGTTATATCTAAACAGCTGGCTTGCCAACCCCAGCATCTCGATCCTGAGCCGCTATATTCCTTCCTTGAGCTAGTCGCTCGGATATTGACTTGTTTTGCGAATTTGTGAATTGAGCAGTGGGAACCATCATTTGATGTTGGCATCGATCTGCTGCTGCAGCTCGCACTTTTCTTCGCGTTAAAATCTTCTTGTTTCTGGGTTGACCGATAGCGAGAGGGGGGTGATGTCCCTAGATGGAGTCTCAAGAGCATCCTAACCAACGTGATTCGGAGAGATCAGCTGACTGCGTTCCATATCAGTCCGATAGATGGCCCGAAACACAAGAGGAGCAAAACAGCCTTGATACTTCCTTCCGCGTTGGTGCTCGTGTTCACAGACTGTACCCCTTCAATCCCAAGCCTCATCACCTTTCTCCTGGATCTCCTCCCTCTTGACCTTAATCCTACCGGCCAACTCCCTCCCCTCATCCTTCAACGCCGTCCAAAGATAGCCCCAGAACAGCATCTCCGCGAACGCACCCACAAAGGTGACTCGGTTATTCAGCATGCGCAACCCGAACCAGCCCAGCCCCCGATCGCCGGGAACCACATACCCGATCCCGGCCTCCCTCGCCGTACCCAAATACGAACCCATAACCAACACGCCAAAGACCAGCGTCTTGACCGTCGAAACCACCATCCACAGCCCCTGCGCATGGTGCAGTATCGCCGCCTTCTCCGCGAAAGCCTGTACGCTCTGCCCATCTGCCTTTTTGGTGGTACTGACCGAAAGACCGCCGGCGAATGTGCTCTCCACGACTGCGAGGACGGCGAGCATCAGGGCGAGCGCGGCGACGGGTTCCGAGGGCTGCGAGAAGCTGGGCGTTTCGCGGATGTGCATCGCTTCGCCGATGAGCCAGAGCGGAGGAGAGGAGGTGATGAGGATGGGGTTGGTGAGGAGGATGGAGGAGGTGGTTAGGCAGGCGAGGGAGTGCGTGAGGATTAGGGTGTGGGAGGCGAGGAGGGGCATGGTTGTTGAAATGTGCGGGACGAGTTCTAGATTTGGTGGTGGTGCTTGACAGATGGCGTGACGAAGGAAGCTTCGGTAGGTTGCCTCGACTGTATGCAGAGACGTCTTGTGATGAGGAAAACGCTTCTGTCATTTAATGCTTGGTGCAATTGAGTCCTATTGGGGAAGGTTATAATTGGCGATCAGGGGCACCTTGGCATTGTGGGTCTTGGAGCATATTCCTACTATTTGAATGTTGCTGATGCTGTTCAAAGGTAGAATTGATTGAATTAGCTCTAATACACATTCTATCATGGATTTCTGCAGCTTGCAGTCTCTCTGCCTTTGGAGCACCCTGCGATTAGCTGCCATATCGCCTGCTACCCTCCCCTTATCCCTTTGTGTGTCGGCCATTTCCTTCGTGAGGTCCCCTCTCTGTGACACTTAATCGAAGTTGCACTGACAAAAAAATGCCTAGTAATAGCCCGATCGCAAGAGGACGTAAGACTTGGTCGAGCTTGGTGTGCTAATGTCATTGGTGTGAGATGCTCAATATTCTACTTCTGGTTTCGAGCCATTGCCGTCTGGACACTCTTCTTCTCTCCGTGCAGCTGTTCAGGAGGACTTCAATTCTTTGAGCTGGCGAATTGGTATCGGTCTGCTGCGAGCTCTCCTTCGTTTCTTCTTTGGAGCAGAAGAGTAAGAACTTATGTTGCGCCCTTCGGAGCAAGTGATCTTCACGGAGATCGGTCTCTGATGGGCCTCCATGCATCACCATCATAGTAATCTGCCTTTGCCTTAGCACCGCTCGACTGATCTACTGTGTGCACTTCTTTCTGACTTGAGACGTGACAACCATAGCACGCCTTACAATGATCTGAATTGGAGGCTCGAAGAAGAATGAGCTGCATGCGTGGTAAATTCTGATGCTATTTGTTGGACCAGGATATGATGACGAGTGGCTCTGAAGCTTTCCAGTCCTCTAGCCTTTGCTTCTCTACCCCAAGCATTTGCAATCGTCCAGTCTGTTTAGACTCTGCGCATTCTATTCATGGCAGGGAGTGCTCATGCTCCAGTGACGTTTTCGATTTCACCACAAATCATCTCTGAAGTGAGCCTCTGTCGGAACCGGGAACCCCAAGGAAGTCGAGCTGTTTTTATGTTTGACCTTATGAGCCTTGCTGGGACAAACTTTGTTGAAATGATCTGGCGGCGGATGGCATATCTCGTGATATTTCAGATGTCGCACTCCCAGTTGAGGGAGTGACCAAATCAGCCTCAGAAGTTCCAATATTGAACTTGCGGCTCTGCGGCAATGGGATTGGCCGAGGTAGGCTGCGCTGATGCTGGCTTTGCTCGGGTGGACTATGCTGTGGCGTGTTCTGCTCGGGCGGCGGGTTCGCTGGGGTCGTGTTTGAACCTTGTCCAGGCAGCTCCGTCTGCGATGGACCCAGTTGGGATGGACTTCGCGGAGACTGTCTTAGTCCAGAATGCCATTGCGGTGATTGGCTCTGTAGCCGTGGTCTTCGCTGTGGTGGCGTTTGCTTGGACGGGCCACCGTAATCTAGTCTCATGCCCGAATGATTGCGGTATACGCCATCACATCGCTTGTAATAGCTACAGCACTAGTCAACACACCTAGTGGACAAAGCGCCTGGCAGCGAAACATGGGTCTTACCATCGGTCGGTGGGATTGCCTCCCATAGAAGGATTCCACCGCACTTTCGAAGGGTCAGGCACACACGTCCCGCCAGGCAGGACTTGGCTAACATGAACCTTTTCGACTTGCGGCCATTTGTCAGAGTCTGCATATTTATTACTCTGATTCCTGCTGTCATAGATGAGAAGAGGCAACTACTCACAAGATAGGTGATCCACAAGCCGTCTTTGGGCCATGAACTCTCCTGTCCGAGCCTCAGCTTCAAGCTTCTGATACTCTTTGCATCGGTCGGTTGACTCGGGAGGAAGTCTTCTCTTGGAGTCAAATCCTTCAACGCAGAATTTGTAACGGGTGATTTTGCACATGACTACAGGAAGAGTTCCAGGAGAGAAACGGCACTTGGAAGGTGAAGTGGAAAGCAATGCGCAAGGAATCAGCATTTGAGAAATTCAGATGAATGTAAGAATGGGAGTAACGCCCAGAGAGAGCACATGTTCTTTTCTGAAACATCGCTATAGCCCTGAAGCTTACTCTTCCACGCCCAAGTTGTATCATCAGAACAGTGCTTCTGGTAGGGAACAGGGTATACGTAGTGGACGAGGGGTAGGCTTCTTCTCTTGCTCTGCGACGGTTATACCCACTGTGGATAGCTTCCAATAGAGAGCGTCTGGATCTTGCAGCAAGTTTCTGCAAAGACACGTTGCGCGTTCCACAGGGGCATGTCAGTCTAACCGAGACGTTTCTGCGAGGTGAGAAACGAAGTACTGGTGTCGCTTCGCTGCAGGAGTACAGGAAAATAGTTCCATCGCGAACCAAAGGGCGGGCACGAGATGTTCACAAGGATACGAGAAGGGGTACCACTCCTCTGGTCATTGGCTGGGGTAAGAAGTCCGAGTCCAGGAAGTTCAAGTTTCAGGCGTGTTTAATACTGTGCATTGTGGAACTTCTGCACAAAATTTGACATTTGTGCGGGAGTTGCTGGTACCGCTCCGTCAAACAGAAACGATGCGTGAGAACTAGATAGATGAGCGAAATAAATATGTTCTACATCAAAGCGATAATAAGCTTCGTCTAACTCTATCAGTAGAAATTTCAGATATATAAGATTCTCTGTTAAGAAGTTAATATTCCATATACGAATAACGTAAGCTGAATCAAGAACTAGACAGTCATATCAACTTGAGAAATCAGCTTAAATCAAAACTCAATAATCTACAACTACGAGATGATACAGATCTAGGAACATTCTACTGCGTACTTGGGAATTTAGTTTAAATCGTCAGAGCAGCAGCGACGTCAGCAATTCTTGATGTAACGTCAAGGATTTGCAAGGGTTCCAAACCACCAGTCAAACGATATTGAGACATGAGAAAAGGACCAGCATCCGACAAGACTGAGATAAGAGAAACAACTGTACAGTGAGACCAAGGATGTCAGTAGGCAGACGCAACGAATAGCAACTGTCCTCCTCACAGCCCGCGAGCTTTGACAACCTCATTTCAGAGCAGAGAGTTCTAGACAAGAGAGGTAGGATGTCCTGCTCGGAAGAGCCTAAAAGATGCATCCATGACAACCTTCGCACTGGTTGCTCTGCTATTTTGGTCGTGTCGGACATTTCATTGAAACTCTGGAGACAACGAAGAACTCTGAAAGAAATGATATGAACAAGTCCTCGAGTTGCCCTAGTGCCAGACCGTCAAAAAGTGCGCTACTGGTACCAGCATTGGATTGCGGTAATGGCTTGACGTAGATGGTGAAAGACAGGACTTTGTTAGGCACGGGCTGGAGAGGGGGACCGTATCCCTAATTTCTCCACCAAGCTTCTGCTGTCGTCCGTTTGGCTTGACTGACCTGGCTTAGAACTATCACCTGGATCGAAATAACTGCCACCAGCGTGGTCGGTCTCTCGATACGACCCATTGATGGCGGAACCTGGTGAAAGAAAATTGGCAGTTGCACTCGATGTCAACCAGGAGAAGCAACCGTAGGTGTTGGAGACGCGTAAAAAGAAGCTGTACCTGTTGGAGGCGGAGATGGGAAGTGACCGCTCCAACCATCTGCGGCCTCTTGCTCTTTCTGTGGCTGTGCTAGTGTGCGGAAGCATTCGAAATGTTTCTTCTTCTGGTCTTCGGTCCATCCATCCGGGTAAGGGCTAGGGGAACGACTTTTTCTGTGATAGTCATACGAACGGGAAGCATCGTACGACCGGGGACGTCTTCGATCTTGTGTGCTAGCGTCGGTTGTGCCCCGAAGAGGATCGACTGTGCTCCTCGGTCTCGCCCTTGAATGATCATGTTGTAGAGCAGCATCATACGGAGATAACAAGCCGGGAGCCATCTCAGACTTCCTTCTCTGTCTCTCATCATTTCTCGATCTGCCACGTTCCTCTGACGTGACAGAACCCCTTCATCCACTATCTCTCTTCTTCTCCGCCACCTTTCGGGCTTCCTCCCTTGTAGCCTCCACCCGTATCTTCCAGTAATCCTCCATCTTGATCATCTCCGCGTCAACCAGAATCTTCCTACGATCCTTATGCCTTAAGCATAATGGGCTCGGATAGAACCATCTCTCTCCCTCTGTGAGAGCATGATTGTTCACCATCTGGAGCGGACTACACCACTTCTTTGCCGCTTCACACGCCATACAGACCTCTTTCTTTTTCAGAGTCTTCCAATACTTCCTCACCGATACTATCTCATTCTCACACACAATATCCTCCCTCTTGCGGTGCCTGGCACAAATTGGGATCGGTAAGAAGTATTTCTCCCCTTCCGTCCTTGCATTCTCATATGGCGAAGGAAGGGGCCTTGCTGCTTTTTTCGCTGCATCGCAAACGTCACAGGGTTCTCTGGCTTTCATTTCCTTCCACAGGTCTTCCGGTGAGATGAGCTCGTCGTCCTTAACGACATCCTTGCTGTGGAAATGTTTTAAGCAGATTGGGGGCTTCAGGAAGTATTTTTGCGACTCCAGCCGTGCAGCTGGATTGGGTACGTTCCAGATCCGACATTTGGCTAGCGCCAACTCACAAGCTCTGCAGTACCTTGCCTCCACGTCCTCGTCGTCACTGCTCTCACTCTCGCTATCAGAATCGCTCGAACTTTTCTTGCCGTTGCTCTTTTTCGTCCTCTTATCCCTGCGAGACTCCTTCCTCCTGCTTCTGCTCCGGTCGTCTCTGCTCCGGTCGTCTCTGCTCCGGTCGTCTCTGCTCCGGTCGTCTCTGCTTCTACTTCGATAGTCTTTACTCTTGCTCTGATAATCCTTGCTTCTACTCTGGTTATCCCAATCTCGTTGCAATTCCCTTTCGCCATGCCCATCCTCGTGTCGATAGCTACTCCTACTTCTCGGAGCTACTTCCTGCCACTTCCTCTTCCACAGCTCCTCAAGTCCCATGCTTTTCCCTTGATACATTACCACCATGTCATGAGAATGTTGAGAGCAGAAGGGCGACCTGGAAAACCATCTCTCAGCCTCGGTTTCGGCGCTTGCTTTGGCCCTGAACCGTGGGTGACACCGTGCTACTGCACTGGAGCAGGAGGAGCAGTAGAGGCGTACGAGGGCATCCTATTCTCGTTTGCTTGCCGTTGTATTCTAGAGGAAAAGGAGGCAGAGGTCTGTTCGTGAAGAGATATAAGTACCAGATGGGTCCGAAGGGTCCAAAATCGACAATGCAACACAATATAAATTGCTGGAAGCAAAGAATCAAAAGACCTGAGGTGGCTAATCGTGAGATTCGAAGTGATCCCTAATGCTGGTGCAGCTGCGCAGTGTAATCAATTGAAGGCTACTCAAATAGATGAGAGCCTTGCAGAAATGGCAGCAGATACAGTTCAGAGACGAGCAGAGAACGGAGACGTCGAACTGAACAAACGACAGAAACCGACTTCAGAACATCTTAGCTATCGTCTAAGCCCTGAGTACACTTAGGATCCCATCGACTTTCATGTCAGAAGCTGTGTGGGGCATATGATCCTTCAGGACATGCAGGAAGTCTCCATGACCAATGGTTAGGTAGCTGCTGGCCACAACCATCCAATGGATAGAAGGCAACACGACTTGCTCAACGCGCTTCTGCGGCACAGCACATTCATGCTGGGATCCCGCCAGCGCCAAGGGTGTGGGGGCGGAGGAATGCATTCAATTGCAAATGCACACTTGCAAAGAAGATCAAAGCATGCCAGTTGCATTGAGGTTGGGAGATGGTGGCTGAAAAGAGCTAAAAGTATAGGTCTTGATGCCCATGTTCATCGTGTCTCATTGTGGTGTTACATTTCTGTCTTTGCTTGCGAGACGCCTCAATCCAGTCCATGAACACCGTTCGCGCGAAACACTTGTTCCCCTTGACTAGGCAGTGTACATCGCCTAAGAATGCAGGGGTCCCTAATAAATGTGGAATCATAGGATCGTTGAGTAGCAAATGTTATGAATCGATCCGCGGAGGACTTCGCGATTTGTCTTTGGGATACGGACTGGCGCTTCTTCTTTTGAAATCACGCTGTTAGCAAATCTGCAGTCCTCATGACATTTTTGAAGATTGAATAAGGCACTTGAAGTAATGACTTACGAGCGTCGCCGCTCACCTTCACGTCGAAAGCTCTCGATGATCCGACTCATTTCTTTCCTCCCTTCTCTTGCATCCACTCTTCTTCCACCCATGCTCATAGAGACCTTTTCATCACTCCGTACCATGAGCAGTCTTTTGAGTAGAAGATGTCGCATATTCAAGCAGACAAAGACCCCGCAGTCTGACCCATTTTCTTGTAAGGGGCTGTCGTCTAATGGTATGAACTGAAGCTGTTTGCCAAGCAGAACGGACATCTTGCGCGCTGCAAATTGCGCATCCCTCTGGTTTCCTGGCGGCAACGAATCGTAGTGAAATGCGACACCATCCACGGCGGAGATGAGGAGGAGTGACCAATGACTTCCACCTTCCGCAATCTCTGGATTATTCGAGTCATTAATAGGAAGGAAGATGTGAGTGGTGTTTGTGAAATTCGGAAGAGCTTCCTGAGAGTGTATATGTGAGAATGAGAAATGATACAGGCTGGGCGAGCAAACCTTTATGGTCCTCGGGTCTGGGGTCTGCATCAGCATCATAGCCATAGATGGTCTGAGTAAGACGATGTTCGCATGTTTGTATGATGTCAAGAACGCATGCTCGAGATATCTGGTGACAGCGTCGCATCAGCCTCTCACCAGCTCAAACGGATTGGTGCTCGATCTCCACCATGACATACTCTTCCCAGAAGGCAATAATCTTGGACCGTCAGTCAGAAGGGTCCGCGGTGCCAGGCATCCCAACATACATTATCCGTAAGCCAATCATATTTCAAGGTATCAACATCCTCTTTGGTTACTGGCCGATACTCAGTCAAGTGTGGATGCGAGATGGATGTCGGATAGGTACGTACAGCAAACGTCATAGTCTGCTCGATAATGTTAGATTCGTGTTTAAAGCACTGAGAGCGCTTGGGGGAGACTCACAGCTCAGGTAATGGTCTTCAGGCGACAGCTGTTCAAAGACGCCGTCAGTGCATAGGCTTTCTTCGCGTTCTCTTATTCTCCCAAGACGTCTGCTTCGTCGACTAGAGAAAGACATTTCACAGCCTAGCATTGAAGCACTTCTGACCAAACAGGCTGCCATTGAAGTAGGAGACCAAATATAGCGAGCGAAGGGGTAGTTGCCATACCGAGCCAGTGAAGTGTTTGCTTAATCTTCCACCGAAAGGATGTAGGTCTGGCATTTTCTTTCGTCCGGGGGGAAAGCGCGAACGACAACGGCAGGGTATTCGCAAAGAAGGCGGGAATGGAGATACCAAGGAGCAGGCACACTTGGTCAAGTCATTGATGAGATAGCACCAAGATGGATTATCTGCCCCCAGAATAAGGAACTGGGTCCCCGGAATGTTTACCGCCACCATAAACCTGGTGTCCCCCTCGCCCATTCAAAGACTCATGTCATCATTGCCAAGGATGAACCGATGCCAAGCGTCAGAGTGAGACCAGGTTGGTGCCGGACACACTGCGCATCCGTAAGTTGTTTCTGAATGAATAGAAAAGCTGAAGACATGACGAGGTATACGTATAGCATAAGATATCTCGCTGGAGCATATGGCAGCATGATAAATGTGCTGCCTAGGAAGCTGCAGGGTTCTGAGCTGTTTCTACGTATCGCAATGCATTTTGAATGCAGGAATGTATGGCAAGGTGGAAGCTAGATTCGTCAGCTATCTTCCCAACTCTCTTCCAGCTATTCGAAGCGTAATTGCATAACCATTCTTTGGAGAAACGAGCGCCGATCAAAGGCTGTATCAGTCTGGGTTAGCCAATACTATGGGTATGCAGCTGCTAAGTCATCCATCTCTCTCGCTTTTCACTTTTCCACTGCGAGGACTATCGAATCATAACTTGAGCAGGCTGCATGGTGGCTTTCCGCTCCTTCGATATTTTCACCAAATTCGAAGACTAGAGGAAGAGAATGTCAGACTGAACGAAGAACTATATGAATGGAGAGATCGAGCAGCTACAGAATCGGAACTCTGACATCGCGCCGAAGAAGAAGTAAAACCACAGCAGGCGAGACCTGTTCCTGCTGTCTTCTTCGAGCGCCTGATGGCGCCGTGCTGTGACTCTGCTTTATTCCCCGGCACGTACTGCTTCTTCGTATCTTGCCGTAGATGCTCACTGACGCTTACCTTTACCGAGTGCAAACGGCGCCGTTGGGTCGATGAGGACGGATCACCTGATCCTAACAGACAATAAGCCAAGCTCTATTCATGGCACGCTCGCTCCAAGTAAAGTGCCGAATCCGAGAAACCCTCCAGCACTATATTCGAGGAGTTTCAAAGGCCTTCTTTCAACCTCGAACCGGTTCATTACTTCTTTAATACTACCTCGCTCTGGTGAAGTTGCTTCTCTGGTGTTTCTTTAGTCCTTTGTAGTCACTTCTGAGCTTGAAACAGTGAACGCATGGAAACTAAGTATCATCAGTGGTGTTTCAGGAGATACAAGCAGCTGGAGGGGATGCTCTATTATGCTTTGTAGAAGGTACGGGATTTAACACGCTGGCAAGTAACAGCTTGCAAGACCGGGAGGGTCCGACAAGGAGTTCCTGGTTTGTGCAGGCTTGGCGGTTTACGTCTGTGGAGAGGCCCCCAACGTGGGCAAAGTTGAGTACGATTTTATTGAAGGGGGATAGGGGACATAGGGACTTGTAGGTGGAAAGTTTGAGGGCGGAGATGGATGGGTGGAAGGATAGAGTGTTGGTGGTATACAGAACAGAGTTTAAGGGTCGATGGATAGGCTGCTTGTTGGGCGTGGTGGAGGTAGATGTTGGTTCTGGGTGGATATCGTCTGGGCTGGCGGTAGAGTAAGAGATATGGAAAAAAACCGTTCCATTCTGGAGAAGTGCTTCTTATTGACATTAAGGGAGATTGAGCGGGAGTAAAATCAGAGTTCTCCAACGAGTTGGGCCGTCCGTCTTTCGCGGATACTCGGCAGCCATTCTGGCCGAGGAATCTCTCCGGAATCCCGTGTATCTGCGAAAGAGAAGTCTCCTGTAGAGTTTAGTCAGGAAGAACAGGGTAAGGGGAACACCGGAAGAATGAGAGCACATAGACACACACAGAGAGAGAGAGAGAGGACATGGGAACTTCTACGGGCCATATTCCATAGAACTCAGAGGGACTGTGATATAGATATAAAAAGTTCCCCAATCAAACTCCCGTTCTTACAATGCCATCTTTCTGAACACAAAACCAGCACATAACAGAAAACACTGAGATTCAAGTCCTCATCAACAGAGTAGGAAAAAACAGTTAACTCAGCACTCACCTCACCCACAAGCAAGATTCGATCATCCTGTCTAAATGGCAGCACGACAGGTTTGGCCACCCGTCCATGTTCATTTAACCCTGGCCCGTCTTGTCCGTAAAATTCTCCCTTTTTGTATTCTGGTGGGCAGGGTCTCTCTCACCTGAGAAATTCTTCTTAATGATGCCAGCCGATTTGGCATGCTGACCGTTGGAGTGTTTCTTTGGTTCTTGTTGTTGTCGTCGTCGTGTCCTCGTATTCTTGTGCTGTTTGCCTATTGGAAATGAAGAGGAAAGAGGGCCGAGGTTTGAGGTGTGGGTGGAATAAGTACTGCCCGTTCCAAAAGTGTTGCAATTCCTTGGCGCGACCCAAAAATTGCTGTGCTGGCGGGGCAAAAAAGCGGTCAAAAGGCGGAATCGCCAACTGCGTGGTAAATAGACGTAGATTTTGCTTGTAAATGCTCATGAAGCTCGCTATTATCCCGATTTGGCCCTATATTGCTTTTTGAGCTTGGTGTTGCGTTTGGCGATGAGTAATCTACGTTTCTCGCGGGCTGCGGTCGAGAATATGGCCCTGTTGCTTGCTACTGATGTAGAACCTCGAGAAATAGCTCAAATCTATCGTTGCCACGCTTCAACGGTAGGCAGAATTAAGCGGAATATCGCTGTATTCAGAGATCCACGGCCTGCGCCTGTATCGGTTCAGGGTAGGCCTTGAAAAATCACGGTAGAAGCGTTAGAAGGCCTCCTTGACTGGGTACTTGATAACGAAGAGGAGCACAAGACCGCGTATCTTGATGAGATGTGTTATTTTCTTGATGAGGAGTATAATATCAACGTATCAAAGCAGACGGTTTCTTAAGCTCTTACTGCTAACGATATAACGAGAAAAGCAGTTAGTATGCGGGCATTTTAAGATGATTTAGAACTTACTTTGTAGGTCGAAAAACGCGCTACTAAACGAGATGAAGATTTATAAGCCTTCTATCGAGCTTAAATAGCTGAAATACATGCTAGACAGGCCATTTTCGTTGATAAAACAGCTGTAAATAAGCATACAAAAGACTATTAAAGAGGCTAGTTAAAACGCGGCGTACTATATAGAGTTACTATACTATATAGGCACTTAAAGAGATAGAGTATTTACCCTGCAATAAGTATTAATAGCTATCTTAATTATAAGATATATTATAGTAGCTTTAATACTAAGAGATTTAACAACTTTATTCAAAGATTACTACTAAAAATAAATCTGTATCCTAGGCTATATTTAGTACTAATTATAGATAACTATAACACCTATTACAGCTAGGTAGAGCTTAAAATAGCTCTATTTAGCGTTAATACTAATAATAGTGTTTAGGAACTTAGAGATATATGTGTAAAGAGAGGTGTTTTATTAATATTCCTTCTTCTATACTCTCCTAATTTCAATCCTATTAAATTATTATTCTCCTTACTAAAAGCATGAATAAAAGGGCATCAAGAGCTAGTAAATAGCTTTAATAAGTAGTTTAAGAGCTTTTTTTATCTTGCTATTTAATAGTATGGTATTAAGAAGTACGCAAAAGCATATTTTTAACATTACTTTTTTGAGGTTAATAAAACTACTATTAATATGCCTTATAATACTATTAAGAAGGTATCAGACTAGCTCAGAGGGAGTACTTTAAACGCGCTTTTAAATAATACTATTATTATTACTGTACAATTTATTATTATATAGTAATTATTAAAAAGTAAAACTAGGTCATCTCTTGAATTCTAATATAGAATCGTATTATATAGCCGAAAAGAGGGTCTTAGCAAGTCTTAGCGTAAATTTCTAAATTAAGTAATATTTTAAAATTAATTTTTGTAATCTATTTATATACTAGTAACTAATTTTGTCTACAAGCCTACTAAAATAAATAATAATATATGAAATCTTAATATATATCTTAATATTTATTTATATTTTGAGTATTAAACAAGGGCTATCTAGGAGAATTTAGTTACTATTATTAATCTTAAACAACTACAAATGCTTAAATCCATTATAAAGAGTGCTATTAGCCTCCTTAATGCTCTCTGGATAACGTTGATGCTATATCTTATCATGCCGTAGCAAATCCACACAAATGCTGTAGCTAATACTTATTTCCTTCTAGTCTTCTCTTGCTAAAGAGGCTATATCTGAGAGCCCTACGCCATGCTCGGCCAACTTCTTGAATGCTCATTTAAATTCAGCTCGTTGAGCCGGTCTATCCTTGATTCGCGAGCAAATGAACGCGGTGAGGCGAGCATCTTCATCTCTAGCCTGTGGAATCGGGCTGCTCGGCGTCACAAGAGGCTGTAGAGGCGTTATAGCCCTTGACAGCGTCGCTAAACCTCTATATTGATCCTTACCATCAGCAGACTTGCGGAGCATAGTATCCTGCTGTTAAGCGCTGCTAGAAAGATTGAGGTTAAGCGTCAACCCCTTAGCTAACGCTAAACTTGCTGTTGACGCTGCCTGTAAAGTTGACAAAGGCTGTAGCTTTTTAGCGAGCTTTTTCTCCTTCTCTTTAGTCATTCGTTGAGCTAGAGATATAAGAGGATGTGTTATACTAATACTAGGGTCATCTTTAATA